TAGAAGGTGTGTCCTAACTCATGCTCTACACCTTTTGGTTATTGTTTCCCTTCCCAGAACAATTCAGGGTAAATGGCTTAAAGGGGCCAATCCTGGCTCCATTTGGTGGAGAAGTTGAACTCAGCTGCCAGTTGTCTCCACCGCAGAGTGCACAACACATGGAGATCCGCTGGTTCCGTAACCGCTACACACAACCTATTTACCTGTACAAGGCGGGTAAAGATCGGTATGGAGAAATGACCCCTATGTATGTGGAGCGAACAGAACTCCTGAAAGATGCCATTGGAGAAGGTAAAGTGACCCTCAAGATCTTTAATGTTGGTGTTGATGACGATGGGCAGTACCACTGCTTCTTCAGAGATGGAGATTTCTCTGAAGAGGACATCACAGAAGTGAAGGTCACAGGTGAGATGGATCCTCTGAAGTTTCTCTGCATCTGTGATTCTCAACCCATCTGTGGCTCAGCATTAGAAAAACTCTCAGTGTTTCAGACTGTTTCCTTATTATATGATTTCATTAGCAAGTTTAAATTTGTGCATTTAGTTTTTGAACCAGAAAGAGTTCAGGATCAAGAATGAAAATTGTTTCTGTGCAGATAACAACTCTACCAGCAAATACCTTCTTTTTATGCCTACATACATTATTAGATTTCTAAAAAATCAACAATTCATTTTAGGATTTGCTGTAACCCTTTCAATTATTTTTGACAGCACTTCGAAAAATTTGATTTTACAAGCAACCTATATCTTTACAATAACCTCCTTAATGATGATTCTTATTCTCACTTCTCTAACTTGTTGCCAGATTAATTTTCCTAAATCTTTTTCAGAAAGTCTTTATCTATAATCTCCAGTGTCCTCAGTTATATATGGCATAAAAATGGTATATGCATATATATAGCATTTAAATCAAGCTCCTCACCCTTTAAATTATTCTGAATGACAAAGAAATGCAGAGAAGATGGAGAATTTCAAGCAAACTGAAAGATTCCACAAAAGTGAGCACTCAAATGTAGGGCTCCAAGGCCACTAACATTTAACATCCTTATCAGACATTATATGACACCCAACTCTGTATTCTAGATCTGAGCTATCTAATACTATATGGCCGTTTAAAAATTTATATTTAAATTAATTAAAATTAAATAAATAAAATTAAACATCCAATTCTGAAATCTCACTGACCCCATTTCAGGTACTAAACAATTTCCTATAGCACATAGCTATCTTATTAGCATAAATATAGATTATATTTATTATTGTAGAAAGTTTTATTAGACAGACCTGTTTTGGGGTTACACTTTAAATCTCTACTCATTCTTTCTTTTCCCATACATTAGACTAGTTTTATGCCCCAGACAATATGTTAAAATTTTTCAGAAGTTTATTTTCTCTAATGAATATATATTATATTTTAATGATACCAGTATATTACCTATTTATGCAAAGCATATCATATGAAAATGCCTATTATATACAAAGAACATATAAAGTCTCAATTTAAGTTGCAAATTTGGGTTAATAATGTTATCAACTATTTATCATTTATCATGGCGGCTCAAAAGTGACTAGCTCTAAAATAATTAAGTCATAATATATATGAGTTCTATAGATATTGATTGTTTTTATTAATTATTATAATACAAGGATTTATGTAAGATCTAAGATATAGTAAATAACCAATAAACATTTTTGAATGAAAGAATAAATAAATGAAACAAATAAGTATTTCCTCACCTGACTTATATGGGACAAGATAATCTTATATGTTATAACCCTTCTGCCTGGCTCATATTCTTTCCCTTTTAATTATCATCTTATGGTATTTAAAGCCCCATAGAGTTTTGACTAACAATATATCAAGGACACTGATATTGAATTGAGGGAGACAGGTTTTATTTCTGTTTTTTGTATTCTTCCCTTAACCTCAAAGTACTGTTTCCCCTTTGTATCCACTCAGCTACAAGCTCAAACATACAGATTCTAGTGCTTCCTTCCAATATTGATGATCTTAGAGTGGAATGTAATTCAAGAGGTTGGTTCCCACAGCCTCAAATGGAATGGAGAGACAGCCAGGGAAAGGTCCTCCCACCTGCATCAAAATCTCACTCACAGGACACGGATAAATTGTTCAACATGAAGATGACCCTTTTTCTCAGCAATACCCACCCTGGGGATGTCACTTGCTACCTCAGAAACCCTCTAACTGGCCAAGAGGAAAAGATAAACATTGTTTTACCAGGTGAGATCTGTGTGTTTGTTCTCCACATGACAGCCATTGTCACATGATATATAAACAGAACCAAAAAATTAAAATGATAGCCCTTGTCACACAATCTGTAAAAAATTAGAAAAAATTCAATTGCTTTCTTCACTTGATTTCCCACAAGACATTACTTTCTCTTGGATTTATTAATCATCTTGCTTGTTCTTTCTTATTCTCTTTGCCACGTTTATTATTTTTTACTGTTTTCTTGATATTGGAATTCCCAGGGCATAGTTTTTTCAGTCTTTACTCTCACATGAGTTTATTCTACCTTTAAATACCAATAATATGATGATGGCTTCTCAAATCATCTTCTGGCCAGACCTCTCTCCCACTCTGTTCTCATCTCCAACTCAGCATCTCAACATAGGAGTCTAGTAAGTATCTGAAGTTAAGTATATAAAAAATGAAACAACTGATTTAGTTACTTGCCTTCCCAATCACACTTCATAGTTTCAATTTCTCAGAACACTATTAAACTCATCCTTGGCTACATTTTTCTCATATTCTATATAATATCTATCAATAAATAATGCTACATCTACCTCTAAAATACATCCAGAGTCTCATGACTTCTTTTTTTTATTGGTTGTTCAAAACATTACAAAGCTCATGACATATCATCTTTCATACATTTGATTCAAGTAAGTTATGAACTCCCATTTTTACCCCAAATACAAATTGCAGAATCACATCAGTTACATATTCACATTTTTACATCTTGCCCTTTTAGTAACTGTTGTATTCTGCTGCCTTTCCTATCCCCTACTATCCCCCCTCCCCTCCCCTCCCATCTTCCCTCTCTACCTCAACTGTTGTTGTTCAGGTCTCTCCCTTGTTTCCCCCCACCCTTTCCCCTCACAACCTCTTATATGTGATTTTGTATAACATTGAGGGTTTTCTTCCATTTCCATGCAATTTCCCTTCTCTCTCCCTTTCCCTCCCACCACTCATCTCTGTTTAATGTTAATCTTTTCCTCATGCTCTTCCTCCCTGCTCAGTTCTTAGTTGCTCTCCTTAAATCAAAGAAGACATTTGGCATTTGTTTTTTAAGGATTGGCTAGCTTCACTTAGCATAATCTGCTCTAATGCCATCCATTTCCCTGCAAATTCCATGATTTTGTCATTTTTTAGTGCTGCATAATACTCCATTGTGTATAAATGCCACATTTTTTTTTTATCCATTCATCTATTGAAGGGCATCTAGGTTGGTTCCACAGTCTAGCTCTTGTGAATTGTGCTGCTATGATCATTGATGTGGCAGTATCCCTATAGGACGCTCTTTTAAGGTCCTCAGGGAATAGTCCGAGAAGGGCGATAGCTGGGCCAAATGGTGGTTCCATTCCCAGCTTTCCCAGGAATCTCCATACTGCTTTCCATATTGGCCGCACCAATTTGCAGTCCCACCAGTAATGTACAAGTGTACCCTTTTCCCCACATCCTCACCACACTTATTGTTGTTTGACTTCATAATGGCTGCCAATCTTACTGGAGTGAGATGGTATCTTAGGGTGGTTTTGATTTGCATTTCTCTGACTGCTAGAGATGGTGAACATTTTTCCATGTACTTATTGATTGATTGTATATCCTCCTCTGAGAAGTGTCTCTTCAGGTCCTTGACCCATTTGTTGATTGGGTTATTTGTTATCTTATTGTTTAATTTTTTGAGTTCTTTGTATATTCTGGAAATTAGGGCTCTATATGAAGTGTGAGGAGTAAAGATTTATTCCCAGGATGTAGGTTCCCTGTTTACTTCTCTTATTGTTTCTCTTGCTAAGAAAAAACTTTTTAGTTTAAGTAAGTCCCATTGGTTTATTCTTGTTATTAACTCTTGGGCTATGGGCATCCTATTAAGGAATTTGGAGCCCGATCCCACAATATGTAGATCGGAGCCAACTTTTTCTTCTATCATGCACAGAGTCTCTGATTTGATATCAAGCTCCTTGATCCATTTTGAGTTAACTTTTGTGCATGGCAAGAGAAAGGGGTTCAGCTTCATTTTGTTGCATATGGATTTCCAGTTTTCCCAGCACCATTTGTTGAAGATACTATCCTTTCTCCATTGCATGCTTTTAGCCCCTTTATCAAATATAAGAAAGTTGTAATTTTGTGGATTGGTCTCTGTGTCCTCTATTCTGTACCATTGGTCCACCCGCCTGTTTTGGTACCAGTACCATGCTGTTTTTGTTACTATTGCTCTATAGTACAGTTTGAAATCTGGTTTCGCTATAACTCCAGATTCACACTTCCTGCTTAGAATTACTTTTGCTATTCTGGGTCTTTTGTTTTTCCATATGAATTTCATGATTGCTTTATCTATTTCTACAAGAAATGCCGTTGAGATTTTGATTGGCATTGCATTAAACCTAATATTGCCATTTTGATGATGTTAGTTCTGCCTATCCATGAACAGGGTATATTTTTCCATCTTCTAAGGTCTTCTTCTATTTCTCTCTTTAGGGTTCTGTAGTCACATAGACTTCTTGCTGTCGCCATTCACACAGATGAGCTCCTGCCTTGGGGTCTTCACTTTAGTTGTTCCCTCTTCTTAGAAAGATGTAATTCCACTAATCTCCCTTGTCTCCTTCAAGTCTATGCTAAATCCTCAGCTTCTTAATAAGGACTGCTTTGAAAAACCAACCTGAAAAAAATGAAACCTGCTCCCTCCACCTGGAGTCCCCTATCTCCTCATACTTCTTTATTTTTTCATTTATAGTATTATCACTGTCTAAGCCACTGCATAGCTTAATTATTATACTTATTGTCTCTTACTGTACTCCCTCTCCAAAACATAAAAGTGGTGATCTTTGTTGGTTTTATAAACTGAGACACATCAACTGCTTCAAATATTGCATGGTACATAGAGAGGCATATTATAACTCAAGTATATTATAATAGGAATAATTCCCTTAATAGTTTTACCAATTTACTTTGTTCAAAACATGCTTGGATTTGTTTTCTCATTTGATCTTCAAAAAATGAGCTTTATATTATACTTGTGTTAGAAACAGGAAAACAAATTCTTATAGGAGAGTTTTAAAAAAATACTAATCTACCTACCTTCTGCCCCCAAAGTTCATGGCAAATATAGAAGGAAAAATACTTAATTTACTTGCAACATCATATTTTCTGAGTTATTAGCACTTTCTTAAGGTAGGCATGTAGTTTTTAAAAACCTGTTTTAAAAAATTATAATTAACACAAATATTGGAGAATAAGTTTCAGTTCCAGGAAATACAGACATTTCAGAGAGATCTTATGTTTCATTCACTGAATATCAGAATACTTGGAAAGAGTCAACATTCATTATTTTTAAAAAATCATAAATTTAATCTTACTTGAGACTTTGTTCCTGTCTGACTAGGGAATCAGCAAAAGTTTGTTTTGACCTCATTGGGTTTCATTGGATTGATGGGGGGGGGACTTTTTTGGGTGTAGAATCAGTTCCTGAGCCATGGGGCTCTTAGTCCTGTGAATTACATGCCTGGAAAACACTAGCTCAAAATAGGTTTATGCCACACCAAGCATTCACAATGGCATAGCAGAACTATAGAGCAGCCTCCTGTATTCATTTCCTCATACAGCATTGAAGGACATAGTGTTGTGTTCTAGGTGGAAGAGGAGTTTTTCCTCTGGGAAGAAAGACATCTGATTTCCAGACAAAATGGCTGGTGTCACGTTCCATATGCACAAGCCAGTAGGCCAAACCAGATGCTTGTTCAGATGAAAAGGAGAGGAGGAAATTTTATATAAACTATGTCTTTGAATGTTTTCAAGAAGAATAATGCCAGACCCAAACAGCACATTGGATAATTCAAAGCTGCACATATTCTGATAGACAAGAGGACTGAAGGATTGAGTTGGGACTGACCTTATCATGATCCCTGTAAACCTGTGTCTAAGTATAGGGTGGGGGTTAGGGGGAATATCTTAGCTCTGCCTCTTCCTTGTACTAGAGGGCTCATGAGACTGAATGGATGGAGAGAAATAGAATGGCCTGTGTTCAGCTTTGTGCTAGCCTCACAATAATTCACACCTGGCTCAGCCTCACTCTAGAACTGGTCCTATTTTTCACCCACCCAGTCATAAATACTTCTCCAACTGGTTTGGATCTAATATTCCATGGTGATGGTATCTTGAATGTGAACCTGCTTTGGATGAATCGTCATCCTAATTGGGTTGGTCCAACACCCCAAGTTTTCTAAGAAGTAAGATCAGTAACTTTCCAATTCAGTTAACTCTCCATTTCTGTTAACTCTCCATTTCTTTTTTTTTTAATAAATAAATAAACAAATAAATATGTTAACTCTCCATTTCTATTAGGGCAGAACATGTTTCTACAGATGACAATTTGGTTGGTAATTCTGCTTACATTTCTGATCATGATGATATCCCCTATCATATATGTCCATGTTACAACACGAATCAAGGGAAAACGACAAGGTAAGTTGGTTTGAAGAGTATGAGAGACAAAGTGAGAGAACTAAAGATGCATGACCTTTTATTCCCTAGTCTGTCTGCTCAGTACATTCTAAATTCTTGGGTGATTATTTATACATGCTGCACTCATTCCTTTCTCCTATATATTTTTCTCTTGTTGCTGGAGCTGCTTTCAGTGCTATTTATCTGAAAGCTTGAGCATATTTTTTTCCTATTAGATCATTATAATGATCTAATAGGAACATACTATTTAGGTTCATATTCACAAAATAACACCTTCGAAGAATTTGATTTAAATCCCCATTTCCTGTTCCCTCCTGCCCCCAATTTTCTCCACTCTCTTCTATTGATCTTCCTTTACTCCATTATTTATTTATTTTTATTGGAATTTTCTACATATACATACATGCAGGTAAAAATCTTTTTTTATAAAAAAACATCATTTACATATGTATATAACATTATATAGTTAAATTCATTATATATTTCTACCCTATTCCCTTCTTTCCTCCCTCCTTCTCATTCCTCTTCTACCTTATATCTTTATGATATACTGTCTCCTCCCCTGCCATCTTCTTTCCCT